TGAGTCTGAAAAAGAATGGAAAGCAGGAGCACAAATCGACATTGGCCAAGAAGGGTAACGAAGACGAATACGAGAAAGGAGAAACGGTAATAGTCAAAGGGAAAGAAATAAAAGAAGAATAAAAAGAAATAGGTGACAACGAATGCAAGAAGAGGGAAGAATGATGCTAATGTTGTACATGAAGAGTAAGGAAAACAAAATATGAGGCAGGAAAAAGGAAATGCATTGGCATGGGCCGACGGATGAAAATGAGGATAGACAGATCACTGTATGGAAGATGAAAGCGAACAAGAAGGGAAAGGCGAAAGGGGGGTAGAGCAAGGAGGAGGAGGAGGAGGAGGAGAAGAAGAAGAAGAAGAGGATGATGAAGAAGTAGTAGAAGCATAGAAATGGTAATGAGAATAATCAGCACCAGAAGTAAGAGGAGCAAAGCAAGAGGCAAAGCTGATCAATTCTCCGCAGAGTAATCAGCAGCAGAAAAAGGCAAAGGTCCATTTTCAGCGTCAAGGCATTCGCATTACATATCGTCATATCATCCTTCTGCTTTTGCATATCTGAATATCAATTATGAATCCGACCTCGTGAGAAGGGGCTCGTCTTGCATTATTTGCTCTCCTCATCATGCCTGCATGTGTCTGGCTCGACGACTGTGCAATTATGCGTCTGATCTGTCATTCTGTACATGCCAGATACGCGGCAAAGCGATGTCATCTCTCAGGACAGTACAGGAAACCGGCTCTGGCGGACTGTTGCCAGTGTCAAATGCAGCCATGCTCTCTTCGTGGGTGCCTTTCAGTATCTGCAAATGAAGGAAGAAGGAGCCTTGAAGAAAGCGAATACATAAAGCGAAGACGGGGCGGTGGTGAACTGGAGAAAGGAACAACAAAAGCCCCAACAAAGCGGGATTCGGGTCCCATGAGGGTTGCATATCAAGTTTGAGCCGGTCCGATCCCCTCTCATCTGCCGGAGGGTAGAACAGACGGCCAAGATCCTAGTTAATGCGTGCTCTGTCAGGCCTCCTGCTCCAGCCCCTTCATTCTGGACGCCATGGCGACGGAGTGGTGGTCGTCGGGGGGGGTTCGGATCGCGAAAAGAGCTGAAACGAATGGGAATGGCGAGGTGTCGAGCGGCTTGACCACTGGCGTGTCACGGGGCGGTTGGACGTCGGATCCAGATGGAGATGTAGTCCGCGGTGTGCTGTTGGCGTGATTTTTTGAGTATCTGATCCGAAGGAAATTGAGCTTGACCTGACCGCAAAAGAGTGACTGACAGACCGAGGCTGCAGTCAGAGAACGGGTAAAAGGTGAGAGATAATAAAACCATTCGGTGAGGAACGCATGCATTTGCAAGCCAAATTAGGTCACATCCAGTTAGAACGAGAGAGCATATTTTTTTCCCCAAGGGCACATCGGCGAAGAACAAATGGAGTTGGATCGCTGCTCAAGGCTTGTAGGCAGATAGCTAGACTCATCGTAAGGAGAGGATTTAGAATAAAAGGCCATAGCATGGATTGGTAAATAGCTTTGTGAATTGGGGAGAAATTCTTACGTTTTTAATTTTTTTCACATAATTTCATTTATTTCACCTCGAAACCCTACTTTCTTACCATAAAGTCGTTGACAAAAGTTAGTTGAATTCTTTTTTTTTCGTGGGCCACAAAATTTGGATAAACCAGATTCTCACTTCACAAAATTAAAGAGAGAAATACTTGCTGCTCTTCATCCTGCAATAGGTTCATCTTTGAAAATGATAAAGCATGCAAGGCCTCAGCAAAATGGAGACAAAAGTGAAATACGTTTTACTCAAGTTTTCACTTCGAGTCGGAAGTTGCGTGAAAAGGATTCGTAAATTGTAGATACAAAGAGTAGCTGGGCGTCGGTGACGCTCTTGGCATACTATTGTTGTGGAGACTTTCATTTCGTGTGAAAGTGCATGTGGAGAGCTTCATATGTCGATCTCACCAGGAGACGACGGCTGATTCCGATTGTACCGCAGCCGTTTGGCTTTATTAGGACCTTCATATTGACGCAGTCTACGAGACACTCTCCCTCAATTCGGGTGAAACTGGGCAAAATTTTCGTTTGAAATTTGACGAATATTATCAATGCTGGAACTCATTCAACCTAACATTAGGTCAAGAAGACCATCCAGCCCTATCCTACATAACGACAAATGATTGATAAGGGAGCTAACCGAGCCATTCTATATCGATGTAATATATTAATATTTATCGTTGCGATAGTAGGATGGACAAAGTTTAACTCGGCTTTATCCAAAACGAAAGAGGATGACTCGTGGACTGCGTCAACATGAAGGTCGCATCAAAACCAAGCTGTGCAGAATAACGGGAATCGGTCGTAGTCGTCCGGTGAAATCAACCATTGCATATTTTCATTCGTAAAGTATATGCGAAGAAAAGTTGGGTTTCGAGGAATATCTTGTTTCACAATTGTTGAGCTTACTTCCATTTTGAGTGAACGTGTTTGGTGAAGAGATTCGAATGTCGGTTTCACCAGAAGACGACGGCGGATTCCTCTCGACCAGCTGTTGATTGGCTTTACTGGAAGGTTCATGCTGACGCTATTTCCGAGGCAATCTCCTCCGATTCCGGTAAAAAGTTGCTAAGCTTTCGTCCGCCATGTGACGAAAATCATCAAAGCAAGGTATCATCGTCACAACAAAATTCAAGCTAACGACAAGCTGATCAGAAGACAACGGCTTGATTCTTAAAATGCTGTATATATAATCGCATGTGGGTTTTGTTGACTCGTTAGCTTGAATTTTGTTGTGACGATAGTACCTCGCTCTGTTGAGGTCCGTCATATGACATACGAAAGCTTAGCACCTTTTCACCAGAATTGAAGGAGATTGCCTCGGAAACAGCGTCAGCTTGAATCTTCCAGTAAAGCCAATCGTCAGCTGGTCAAGAGGAATCCGCCGTCGTCTTCTGGTGGAACCGACTTTCGAATCTTTTCACCCAACTTACACTCGAAATAGAAGTAACCTCAACAATTACGTAACAAGAGATTCCTCGAAACCCAACTTTTATTCTCATTAAAGTTAACCAGCCAGTCCTTCATCACCTTAAACAAAATTGGGCGAATGCATTTTATATTAAGAAAAATAGCCAATCACTAGGCCAATGATGATGTTCAGTTTGAACAAAGAAATAGTTACATTTTTTGGCACAATAAAGATTCCATACAAGTCTGAAACTGAGAGAGTCCAAATGTGTGCACCTACCGACAGACGACAGAGCTTCCTGCAGGCTCGACCTGCATCAGCTATTACCGCTTATTGAGAAGCTTCTCTTTGACGAGCTATCAGCCTCGGTTACCCAGACCACTCATCTGCCTCGAATGCGTGAGACAGGTTCTGTTGAGCGCCACAATCAGTGATTATCCAACACATCTTGCTGACACAGATGACCTGCTTCATCTTTGTGGTGTGGATCGGGCTCGAAAAAGAGCCAAAAAACACACCACTGCTGGAACGCAATAAGAGACGGCCAGAGTGGCAATAAAACGGGCCACTTGCATTTCGAGTGAAAGTGTTGCGTGAAGAGATTCGAACGTTGGTTACACCAGAAGACGACGACCGATTCCTCTTGACCTGCTCTCGATTGGCTGACGCTGTTTCCTAGGCAATCTCCTTCGATTCCGGTAAAAAAGCGCTGAGCACATGACGGACACCATCAGAGCGAGGTATCATAGTCACAACCAAATTCAAGCTAACCAGTCAAGAAAACTCCGAATTACTCTAAATGATTATAAGTGACTTTTATAGTTAGTGCTAAGTACTGATAGCTGCGAGGCAAAACTGTCTCAATCCACCAAGTGTATAATGTATCAAATTTAGAGGAAAACACATAAAATCACTTATCGACTTGATTACCCGCAAAATTATGTAGGTTTTGATAGGCTTGCAGGCCTTGGCAGTGATACCTGTTGTGTGGTATTATGTGGCTAAGGTGATAGTGTGTTTGCTTCGTTTTGTCCACACGGCCGCATTTAGTCCCGATGGGTTGGCCGACGAATCGGAGGAGATTTCCTCGGAAACAGCGTTAACGAGAATGTTGCAGTAAGCCAATCAGCAGCTGATCAAGCGGAATCCTCCGTCGTCTTCTGGTGGAATCGACCTTCGAATCTCTTCACTTTATTAAAACTAAATGAAGAAGATTTTCCGTTATATAGAATTTTGTTGTGACGATGATACCTTGCTTTGATGATGTTCGTCACATGACGGACGAAAACTTAGCACCTTTTTACCGGAATCGAAGAAGATTTCCTCGGCAACAGCGTG